GCTGGGGTACGCGGGTGGGGGAGGGGAGGAGGACCCGGCCGAGGAGAGGTTTGTTGGGGTGGGCCCCTGCCCCTCCTGCGCCCCGAGGAGCTGCATTATTGCCTTCCATCTTCCTCCGTGTAGAAGGGCCCCAGCCCTTTGTAATCCCCTTCCTTCTTTCTTGCCTGGGGATGGCAGGATGCTTTTGCAGGTGGCTGTCTGGAAAGGTGGAGCTCTCCAACTCACTGAGGTAGCTGAGCTTTTCTTCCCTAAAGCGGTTGGGTTGATGTCTGTCTCATGGCCAGCAGTCTGTCCGAAGCCCCTCTCCAGTCACATGGAGGAAGGGTGGCTCTCTTGAGCTGTTTTGCTGCTCCATCTCCAGCTGAGGTGCCTTTCCCCTCCACATTGACTTTGCATTTGGTTAATTGCTGAAAAAGCTGCCTGCATTTTCGAGCAGTTTGGTGTCACAAGTTCTTTTCTTTATGGATGCATGCACTCATATGAAGGTCACAACCAAAATACCATGTGTAGGTTTTATCAGTTTGGCCTAAATCTCTGTAATACCAGCAGTGTATCTTTATAACAGGTCCAGGTGGAACTAAAATAAGAGAACTTGAGGATTCTTCGGGTTCCAGGATAAAGGTACCATATGCTGTGTCATCCAGGTCTGGACTCTGTTGGGAACATGCTTGATTTTGCTTCCATGTAAACCAGAGTTACTGGAGCAAGTTGAAGGGTGTTGCAATAGCTGTAATAATTCTACTCTTTTACAAGAATTGGTGAAAGGGAAGTGGCATTGAGGGTGCAACTTGACTGGTATGTGAAAGCATCAGCAAAAGTTTACTGATTATTTTTTTTTTCCCCTTAAGTATGCATTAATTTTGCTTTCTTTTAGAAAGGGAATTAAAAGGCCTTTTCCTGGGTAGAGAAGTTAAAAATTGGGGAAAAAAAAAATTCAAAAATTGTTTTCAGTATGTATTCTTATATAATGTTTGTTTTTGCAGTATACAAACACTTACACTCAGTAAGGTTTTATTAACATAGGTTATAAAGGGAACTTATGAAGCTGAAGTAAAGATTTTTGGCAGTGTTGCTGCGCAAAACAAAGCCAAGATATTGATTGATGATGCTGTTACAAGGTCTGGACAAAACTATGTTAGAGGCAGGACTGAAAAAGGTAAGAAATGTTGTTTTGGGGGGGGAAAAAAACGGACTGTGGATTGTCTTTCCATATATTTAGTAGTTTGCTGGAGTGTTTTTATATTAGTAGTATTTTACAGAAGTGAGTTAACTTTCACCTTGTTCTAGGACAATGGCATATGTCCTTAAAACAGAGATATTTAGGCATCCTCCTTTCTCGGCTATAAACAATTTCCCTTCCTCACCCCCCCTCACACTAACAGACATTTGTGAAAATTTGTTTCTGTGTGTTTTCAACAATTTTAATCAATGCAGAGTGTTATACTGCTTAGTTTCTTGCATTACCAATCTGATTTCCCAAAAATAACAAGTATTGGTTCTGGTTTAAGCTTTAATATTATATCTATGCAGTATTAAAATTCAATAAGCTTTTATAAATGTAGTCTATAAAGCAGATGTACTGATTAAAGCATGGATGATGCTGACTTCTTACTGTTTTCATGGGATGTTAGTATTTAAGATTTGATGTTGCACATCATGCCTCACTTGACTAGGCTTTATTGTGTTAACTTCATCTGTAATGTGGATATATGAGTAATGATTGTTGAGATGCTGTTTATGTTACTGATATTTGTCTTGTGTGTGCTCCCAACGGCTTTTTGCACAGGCAGACAACATCCATAGTTGTTATCTGAGGCACTGATGAGGAAGAAGGGATCAGAGATTTGTGTTCCAGCATTAGAATAAGGAATGGAGTAGTTGTGAGTTTTGATTTCAGAAGTGCCCCAGAAGGTGGACAAGCTTGTTTCAAGGGGCTGGAGATAGTTAACACTTCCTTAGTACGTGTGACTGTGTTCTCACTATGTTTCCTGCTTTTCCACAATTTCCAACACGAAATTGTGTTGCCATTTATATCTTCAGGATAAAACATTTCTTTCTTTAAAAGTGTTAGCCTCATCAAAAAAGGGGTGTAGAATATAACTACACTGAGACTTTGTTGTGGATGTTGGATGCTTTAGAAGTAAACCTTGCTCTTGTAGCTGTTTTTTCTGTGTAAAGCTCTCTGTCTGCATATTATCTACTGAGTTCACAAGTTTTTGAAAAGCCTGCTGCACAATGAGCCTTATTTACAGCTGAACGAGCAGCATTTTGGAACTTGTCATTACTTTCTTTAAGTAGCTAAAGATGTTGAAATGCTTCCTTTTTTATCAGAACTGGATTTGTACAGGTATTACCAATGCTTAAGGCTAAGACTTAGGAAAGAATTTTCTATTTAAATGCTTCATGTCTATTCAAAATCACATAAGAGGCCTTAAAATAGAAAAAGAAAATAAGGTGTTTGTTTGGGGGGGGGGCTCCCCCCCACCTTCCAACAGATTTCATCAAACAGCAGCGTTTTGGTACTAACTCCTCAGGAAAAAGCTTGGACGTTATCAAGCCTGAACGTAACACAGAAAAAATGGTTATTAACTGGGCCTCTCTTCGAGAAAACAAAGCAAAATATGACGCTATGAAGTGGGCAGGTTAGTTTTAAAAATTTGATTGTGTGGTACTTGTCTTCATACGATAAATCTGTTGAATGCTTAAATGTTTTTTAATTTTTTGCTTTGAGATGACAGAATCTTTCAGTGTCCAGATTAGTTACGTATTTGCAGTGAAGTGACCATGTCAGCATTTCTCAGCATGGTCTTGGAGGACACTGTAGTTGCTGTGTGACAACTTAAACTTGCTACTCAATTGGTATTTTAACTTCTCCCTTTGAAAATGCTGTTGTTTTGTATGTGGCTGCAGCAAAATCTGAGAAGTGTTAAATATTATACTATATATGTTAGCAGAAATTACTTTAGAACTTGAAATGAGGGGAAGTGATTCTTTTGCAGATACTTAAGTGTTTGTTTCAACCTTCTTCTTTTAAATGAACAACAATAGTCTTCCACTGCTTTTGACTGGTCTCCTAGTACAAGGCACTGTCTGGGTTTTGGGATTTCCATCTTAAGCTTTGGCAGACTGACCCTGGGTCTGTAGCATTTCTTACTGACTCAAGTTTACTTTTTCTGATTGTTTAAGACTTGCCTCCAATTGAGAAAAACTTCTATAAAGAATCGACAAGGACTGCAGCTATGTCACAAGAAGAAGTGGAAATGTGGCGGTAAGATTATTTGTACAGGGAATCATCTGCTTGGCAAAAATAATTGGTAAGGTACAGAGCCCAGGGAATGGGAGATGAAATACTGAGACAGAAGCAGTAATGTTGGGAACTTGAAGTAACTTAGGTCTTTTTAAGAACTCTTTCTTAGGAATGAAACAATAACTAGCAGATGAGTTGTTATTACTTGCTTGGAAAATTAACTTTAGCTATTAACTGCTTCTCTGAAAGTGTTTAATCTAGTTAGCTTTCAGAAGGGAGAAAAATCAAGACGGTTCATTGGCTTTTGGCCATCATTGCATTTCATGAGACAGCGTGTTCACGTTTTCTAGGTCCTTCCAGATATGATTGGTCACATGTTGAATACCTCTTGGCTGCCATTTTTTTCCCCCATATATTTTAGTCAAATACCATCTTCAAAACAAATTTCAACTTCTATTACTGTTGTCTCCCTTTCTGTCTATCTCTCTTGTCTTTACAAGCCCATCCTAGTGAGTATGTGCCTCAGTTAACTGTGTCCATTCATTTTGATCCAGCAATCTACATCATTACTTTGCAAGAAGAGCAGATCATCTGTTTCAAGTGATTCTTTCAGGCCCTGGTGATGGTTTCAAACCTTTTCAATAGTTCTAATGAAGTTGGTGAACATTCTTGAAGCGTTACCTTTTTCTTTTTGCATGGTGTCTGTTTTTTGTCTTGCATGCCTACCAGAGAAACCTTGCCACAGTGAGCAAAGCATGGAATTGACATGTTTCCTTAAAGTACATGTATGTGTTATTGTTAGAGCTAGTCAGGAGCAACAGAACATTGTTCTGTAGGTTCAGAACATGCATTGAGGGGTAACACTTGTGTGATAAAGGGGATTTAGATTTTTCATCTAATCTGTTTGCTTTAAGGAAAAAAAGACAGTAAATTAAAAAAAAAATGTTGTAAATAGGAGGTTGAATTACCCATTCTTTTCCTAGCCCACAGCCTGCTTGAAGTAAAACTATTTGCTGAGTGGACTCTTCAGAAGAGTACAGAATGATAAACTACTCGTGCATAGTAGTACCTCTTAATTGGGGGGAGCCTCAGAATCTCAGTTTTTATGTAGCTTTGTGTGTGCATTATTGTGTTTTGGGTTTTGATTGGTTTTTGTGTTTGTTTGTGTTTTGGGTTGGTTTTGTTTTTTGCGTTTTTTTGAGCTTGTCTTACTGACGAGGTTCTCTTTTCTAAACTGTTGTGTTTGTATTTTCCAGAGCATCCAGGGAGCTGCTGTGAAAATATTTCGTGAAGGCTTTTGTCAGAATTTAGGGTTCTGACACAGAAGTCAAATCTATTCCTTTGAGTTCTAGATTGTCTTTAGGTTTAAAAACTTGTCATAGTTACACTCTATTACAAGTTAAATTGTTGAAGTCTGATATGACAGGACAGCAGTTCATGTTAATGTCCATATATAACTTTAAATTAGTCTTTGTTAAGAAAGAATGCTGATAGATTCCTCCAGGAGAAGTGTTTCTGTAGTAAGACTTTCTTAAAAGTCAGAATAGTGGTAAGTCTCATTCAGGAGCCTGAACTTGTTTTTTTGTTGTTCCAGGAATTAAAATTTTTTTAAAAGTCAGAAAGGCAGTCTTTTGTGTTAGCTCTAATTTTTTGGATAATGAGACTTTAAAGCAATTGCACTTCTTTAATTCTGTACAGGAAAGAAAATAATAATATAATTTGTGATGACTTAAAAGAAGGTGAAAAGCGCTGTGTTCCCAATCCTGTTTGTAGATTTGAAGATGTGTTTGAGCGTTATCCTGATATTATGGCTAATATAAGAAAAGTTGGTTTTCAAAAACCCACACCAATTCAGGTACTTCTTCAATTTTCATGGCTCTTTAACTGAAGCTTAAGAGAACAGTACATTTAAATATTTATTGTTTGATGTTAGTCCCAGGCGTGGCCGATCATACTCCAAGGAATTGATCTTATTGGTATAGCACAGACTGGTACGGGGAAGACATTAGCGTACTTAATGCCTGGATTCATTCACTTGACTTCACAACCAATGTAAGGACTGCTTGCATGTCTGACTTGTTTAGCTGTGGATGCTTCCCCCCACCCCTCATGTGATGGTTTTTCTAGTAAAGAAGATAATAAATCATAAATTGCAAAAAAAATTATACACCTGGTGGAGTAAGTACCAAACTTGTCACCATAGATTCTGTTATTAGCAGTGTACTGATAAAGTCTAGATTGGTGTAAAAATACTCGTCGTCAGATGTGATGGACTTTGCCTAGCCTTGTGTACACACATTCTGAAGGTGCTTTATTGCAGATCCAGAGATCAGCGTGGAGGGCCAGGAATGTTAGTCCTTGCTCCCACTCGAGAACTGGCACTTCAAGTGGAGGCAGAGTGTTTGAAGTACACATACAAAGGAATTAAAAGGTAATCTTACTTCTCACTTGCTTGTTCAGTAACATTTTTTTTCTACTACTTGTGGCTTAATTCACCTGCTGAAATAATTGCATTTGCTAAGAGGGGAGGGGAAAGGTAGTAAATGAAGAGTTTGTATTTTCCCAGTCTTTAGAATGCCTATTTTGACTACTGTCATGTTGAAAATGTGTTTCTTATATAGTTGGGCTTCTCTGTGTTGTAGCTTTGTTTGCTGCTTCTTGTCCTTTGTGGACAGCTGAGAAGAATCTGGCCGTGTCTTTTCAGTACCTTGCTGTTAGGTAGCTGTAGGCAGCAATAAGATCTCTCTGAGCCTTCTGTTCAGGGGGAACAGGCCTGGTTACCGCCTTGTCGCATCAGGCACTCTGTCCCTCTGGCCATCTTGGGAGCTGCCTAGTGGACTTGCTCCAATATGGATATGTCTGTCTTCTAACAGAGGTGGGGCGGGGGGGGTTTACAAAAAATGGGTATTGTGCTTGAGGTGTGGTCTCACAAGTACTGAATGAAGGGGAATAATGAGTTCTCTCAACCTGCTGACTACCTTGTCCATAATACACAACTGGCTGTCTTTTTTTTGTGGGGTTACACTGTTGAATAAAGTTCAGTTTCTTGCCCGCTGGAGTCTTTTCTGCAAAGCCATCTTCTAGCATGTTAGCCCTCAGCCATGGGATAATTCCATCCTAATCTTTGCTTTTGTTAAACTTCATTGGATTCCTGTCAGCCTGTTTCTCTAGCTTTTTGTGGTCCTTCTGAGTAACAGCCTAGCCCTCTAGTGTATCAGCTGTTCTCCCAATTTGGTTTCATCCACAAACCTGCTGAGAGTGTGGGCCTTCATTTAAGCTATTAAACAGACATTACTGTACTCTGAAATTTTACTTTTAGGGCTCTCAGATGACTTTGTTTGTCATTCAGAATTAGTCTTGTAGTCATCAAATACTGAAATGTATGTACTGCTTCCTTCCCAAAAATACTAAGGAGTTTTACAGAGCGTGTGTGAGCCGAAACCTTATCCATTGCGTTGATTATTTTAACAGCAAAACATCTGATCTGCAATGGTACTGTTTAGAAAATCATGCATCCTTTCATATGTTCATCTGGTTTTGGTGTGAATATTTTTCAGAACAACCCAAAACATACTCATAGCTTAATAGCTATCTTCCTTACTTCCATGGTTACTTTTGCTG